TTTTACCTCCACATGTTTGTGATGATTATAATGAAAAAGTTATACATGTACTCCTTGTTTTTGACTACACAATGTAGTTTTTGACTAGGCTTTCTCATAATCGCATATTTTATAGATACTCATTGTATGTAGAGCAAGTTTATAAATTATTTTCACTGCAAAGATATCTTTATTACTATTGCACTGAAAGTGATGTATTTATTATGTTAGTATTTTTTAATGTTTAGTGTTAAACTCGTAAATTTACTTACCTTGCTCATTGGTCATTTGCAAAATTATTTTGTTAACAAACATTCTGATTGTACACACAAGTACTCTGAAGTTGACATCAAAAAGTTGATTGAGTTTCTGATCGACAATATTTATGTTGTTTTTGGAAACCAGATCTTCTCAACAATCTATTGGAATTTCCATGGATACCGATTGCGCCCTTTTATTTGTATTATTTTTGTATTCATATGAAGCAGAATTTGTGCAAAATCTGATGCGTGAAAAGAAGAAAAAACTTGATAAAAGATACCACATCTGACACATCTGTTTCATATTTGGATATTTTACTTGAAAAAACGTTAATAGTTATCTAACAACCAAGCTCTATAATAAACGTGATGACTTTAACTTTTCTATCGTCAACTTTTCTTCTTATGCAGCAATACATTTTCACCACCTGCATACGGAGTTTATATTATATATCTCAGTTGATTCGATCCGCAATAGCATGTTCTACGTATGAATAATCTAAAACGAAGTACATTATTGACAAACATGTCGATAAAACAAGAATATTAGCAGTCTCGTTTAAAGTCATCATTTCAAACGTTCTATGGTCGGTATGTACAATGACCTTGTAAAGAAATACAATTTATCATTGAGTAAAATGCTGACTGACGTTTTTCATACTAACTATCCATTATTTAAACACTGAATTGACGACGGATTTTTCCGTTATTTACCGATCATGAAAAGGAGCACACGGCAGCTGGACTGGTCGGCAGGGGATGCTCACTCTTCCATGGCACCTGATCCCATCTCTGATGTTTTTGAGGTCCGTGTTTGTTCTGCTCCTATTTTGTATTGTTTCATGGACTTTGATCTTGAATACTGTTCATTATCTCCATATGTTTCATTCCAATGTTCTCTTTATAATCCTAACGAGTTCAAATTAAACCTGGGGCTTTTTATTTTCTTACACAGCATATATATCTATATATTCAAAAATTCTTCCAGTAGTTTCAAAAATATCAATCATAATTGCATGAATGATATAATTATAAATTAATAAATAATTACATAATTAAATTATGGTTTTGAATCCTTATTTGCCTTCCTAGTTTAGTGATTTAGAATAAATAATGACTAAAAGGAATATATTAAGATACCTAAACTGTTCTGAGTATGGAACGTTTATATGATACTTTCATCGTTCGTGACGATAAGATAATTGGTTATATAGGTGACCATTCCAAGACATGGAATCCACGTAATAAATGACTCATATCGTTTATCGCGGGGATTTGACACCACAGCATATAAACTGGTAGCGCAAAAACATACGTCGATCTCCAGGCTCCGAACAAAACCTAAAACCTAAACTGGAATATAATCTATTGAAATGATTCTTAAATAAAATTGTCAACTAGTATATCCGTTGAGTCTCTGCTTAGTCAATGAACCTGTCCGCGGAGATCATCATGTCGCCAGCAGGATTTTCACCAGCTTAAGGACACTAAATATGTTACTAAATGACACTTTAAGCATTGTTATTATTGTAACTGGTCCTTCTGTTTCGCACTTAAGTGTTAGGTTCATAATAATGAAATAATAAACAATATTCAAATAGGTTTACCCTTTGCTTAATTGCATCAAACGGCGTGGACGTAACAATCATTTAGAGCAGCAATGAAAAGTTTTAGTTGCTTAATTGCAAAGACGGTGAAAATATAGAAAAAAAAACAAAATAATAAATATACAGGGTTATAGTTGAATGAAAATATGAAGTTAACAAACATTTATCATACTCACATAGTAATCAACTCATCTACAATATAATTATTGAAAAGTAAAATGAATGATTTTAAATTTTTTGCTTAAGTTACATCATGTTTCTATTTTTCTTGAATTTGGAAAAAAGGTTTACTAAAGTCATTTTTACTGTTGTAGATTAAAAAAAATCGTAGGTTATTTTGAAATTTAAAGTATGTTTCGTGGGTTTGTCGATTAGAAAGAACATAATCTGATAAAAGTATTGCACCATAAAAACCACTGAAAAAAAGGTTGAAGAGTTATGACATATTCATTTGTGCTGTTCTGATAATAAAAATTCTTCACGAATCTTATTGGTTTAGGAAAAGATTCCCTCTGTATTTATTGCAAAATAAAGCTATCTGTCCTTTAGCACAATGTTAAATGCGTAGCTAAGGGTTTTTTTTTGTATCTTGGTCAAATCAATGTTATTTACTCGTGTCTTAAAAATATTTTTTAAAAATATCTTTTCATGTTTATTTCAGTGATTATTTTATAACAACGTATATTAGTATTTTTTCATTCATATAACACTTCTTTTTTTAAATGATTCAAAATCTAAATAAATATCCTTGTAAAAATCATTACCATATACAATTGAATATGTCGAAATATTTTAGTTTCTGTAAAATATCACTTTTAGAAGAAATATTCTACATTCTTTGACCATGCATGTCGCAAACTCTTATCTTCCCTTACAATAAAAATTATAATTTCTTAATAGGCGCCTGTGTCAGCTCAAGTAAATGATACAAAACACAAACCAACAATAGCTGACAACTTTTTTGATGGGAGAATGTTTTGATTAAAACCCTAAAAGATGATTACATAAATTGATCAATTTACTCACACCTATAGAGTCTTCATCTTGGGCTTCATCGCGTTAAGGTGTACTAACATCTTGACAAAGTTTGCTATTTCATACATATTCACACGTCTACTTTTATTATGACGAAATATTGTCATGTAAGAAGGAAGAAATAGAAGACGGTCATCGATTTGCTTCTTTGCAATACTTTACTTTTTATACCGAATAGTCTAGAGATTTGTCCGTCTACCCGATCTTGACAAGGAGCACACGGCGATTGGGACGGTTTGAGAGGATGCATACGCTTGTAATGGCACCTGATTCCATTCAAATTCTAAATCTTATATTTGAGAGGTCCACGTTTGCTCTGTTCTAAATTTGTATTATTGTACTTTTGACCTTGAAAACTGTTATCTTTATATTTTATTCCTTTACGCAGGGAAAGTCGTTTCGGAGATGAAAAACAGGCGGGCTGGAAATCAATACAACTTCCTCAAGACGAATACTTTTACATGTACATAATATATACGATGATATTGAAAATAACTAAATCTGCATATTAACAACTACATGTATATGTGGTGAATTCCCTTAGCGTGCTGAAAGTAAAACTATGACTATTTTTTTTTTTTAAAATTATACAAGTCGCTTAGACATTATTTTTTGACTTTAAAACCATGTTTATGGAACTATTTTAAAAATAAATTTACAATAAAATTGATAAAATACAGATAACGTAAATTACAGGAATCTAAGCAAAACCGAAACCTTACTACAATGTAAAACACTTTGTCTTTTTCAAAATTTTAGTATTCATTAAAAGTAATGCAAATTTGTGGGGATAACAATAAAACTTTATCATTCACTGAATAATTTACAGAGAGTTTTTTTTCAAAGAGTGAGCACTCACTCCCTTTGGTATATATAGGATCTAATTTGATCTATAACATGTTCCTTTTTGCTATTTATACATCGTTCGAAGAAAAAAAAACAATTTCATTTAAGGAAATTGTACTTGATCTAGTATTAGTAATGATGTTATATATACGAAGTCAGATATCATTTATTTGTAAATAAAAGATGGTTAAAGATCATGTTTAAAAATTCAATATCTTTGTTAAATAAAAGATGTGAACAATAAAATGTTGACACCCCTTGAGTTCAAGTGAAAATGGTAGATTATTCGCTCAGCTGTTGTTCTTCTGTTGAATCTGCAACACGTTAAAGGAAATAATTCATTATGTCAATAAAACCGCTGATACGTTTTATTTGTCGACAAAAAATTATTACAAATGAACACTGAATTTGCTACATAAATATTTTTTATCATGCGCACTTTGAATGTGTAATAAAAATCGAAAACAAATATGTTTCTTGTAAAATTGTTTTAAAAAAACAAAACCCAGGGTGTATTGACTATTCACTTAAGACCGACAAAATAAAAAACAATAGATTGAATAATGCAAACAATTAATAAATGAAAGTAATTTTCATAAATAATATTAATACATTTTGTAACAGATTCTTGTTTTTTGTTTTAGTAATATAGGGAAGAAATTTTAAAATAAGATATTGTAAATTAAATAAAAGAATTTTGCATATGGAATTATTGTTAACTTAATTTATATTACATGAATTTTTAAAGTGAACTAATTATTTTTCAAAAAAGATGTCTAAACTGAAAATTACAATATTGAAAGTGATGACAGGATTTATTTTAGCTGATTAAACAATCAGAAATTTGACAAGAAACATTTTACATTTGAATACAAAGCAAATGTGAAACGACACTCCTGAAGATTTCCGACCACTGTTATCATTGAGTCCTTTCATTTCGACATTAACCTACGCTGGTGGACTCTTGTATTGATTAAAGTGGTATTCAGAAGGGCCCGGACAAATTCTCATATATCTAGGCTCACAAAACTTGTCGCCAGATAAGAACCTGACACAATGTTTACAAAATTTAAATAGTAGAAAAACCAATAGAAGTAGGAATTATTTCATCTGTGGGAAATGTTCGAATGAGACACGATACAAGTCCCATGTTAAAATTTTCAAAAATGTCTTGCACCATGTTTTTGGTCTGATGGACTGATTGTAGAAAATATGCAAAGTGAATTCCAGACGAGTATGGTCCACATCCCGGATTACTATCGTGTTATATCTCTCACTCTTCTACATTGGCTTTCTTATTAAAGCGTGTCCTCTGTCGCTATACTGTAGGTCACAAGAGGTAGCTCACAAAACAGCGTGAAGATGGAATTTCTTCTGATAATAGTCAGCACAGGTGAGTTTCTCCAGTTCGTGCATTTAAAACTTTAAAATCGCCACTTAAGTACCTGTTCCTGCTTCTTCTATCGTGTTTTTAGAATCCCCGTGTGTATTGAAAGATCTGCGATGTAAATCCATTCCTGACAAATTTAAATTCCAAGACAGCAATGCACTGATTTTCTAAATTTTCCAAACGTGAAAATATACCACACAGTGGCATAAAGAAATTGTATTCTGACATCTGCATGGGACTATAAAAAGGTAAAGTCTGATCCTTGAAGGATTTCTTATATCATATCTGAAGATTAGATGAAGAGGTGTTAGTGACAAGGCAAGTCGAGAAGGCTAATGACAGAGGCCCGCAGGTAAACCCCAGTGCTCTCTGACTCTTGCGCCCATCTTAACACATGATTTGTCGATATCGCAACGACAGCCTAATCTTATACTATATCTGTCATCCAAGCCCTCATTTCTAGTGGTAAAACTGTTCAATGTGCAAATTATTTTGATAAATATCTGGAGATTTGAAAGAGAGAGCAAGAGAGAGACTTGAAAGAATTGGTAGATAAAAAAGGTAAGGCGATGAGAGAATCTGGTCACGTGGTCTAGTTGTCTCTGATGCAAGTGTGACATTGACAAATTACCCGTTTAGGAATATACAATACTTGAAAACAATTATTTGATTATTTGCAGGCAATTAAGTGAAGATGGATGGTGCATATTATTCCCAATCGATGTACCAGCGGGATAATTATGGCATTTCTGCATCTGTTCCGGGACCCTATGGCACATCCGGACAACCTCCACCTCCGGCGTGTATCTACCAAAGAAATTCAAACCTTGGCTATGGAGGACACCCAATGCAAGTTGTAGAACAAACTTCTCTTGACTCTTCTAATAATGTAAATCATCAAATGGCACCACAACAAAATCTACAGACAACACAAGGGACTGGGCATTCTCCCATTGCTAATACCACGCCTGCTCATATGCAAAATCCCATGCAACTGACCCCAGGAATCTTACCTACCGTATCTCAGCCCCCACCGGCTCATTCTCAGACAATGCCCCCTTCTACCACCACAACAAGTGGAAATGGAAACGGAAACCAAAGTGGAGGAAATTCAAATCAAACCCACCTACAGTTCCCTTGGATGAAAACAACAAAATCACACGCTCACCAATGGAAGGCTCAATGGCCAGGTAGGTTTAAAACCGCAAACTTAAAGAGAGTCATTTAAAAGTAGGTACTGTGATAAATTACTAATAACGACTTAATGATGGCGGTCAAGATGGCTGAGGCCTTTGAAGAACTCTTGATGTAAACATCGAGGCACAATTTGTTTTGTCACACTAAATCTCTATTCACACCCCGACGGCGCAATGTTTCTAAACGCTCGGCAGATAATTAATTATAACTGTGACTTAATCTTCGATAGTGAGCATTTGATTATTATAAAGTACCCCAATTTTTCTATCAATAAAGCATAAAGAGACAAATGGCCTTTGTAGTATTTATCTTTATACAGGGACAAAACCAGAGTATAAACGGTGTGGGTAGGAGTCACATGTATTTCTAAAGAGCTGATTGAATAAAAAAGAATTGATTCAAATATTTTATTATGACGTCTTTATCATATTTTATTAATTTTATTTCTTTAATATCTGATTTTTATTAATTTCAAACATAACAATAATTTAAAAATACCTTTAAATAAATTTGATTTTTTCGTTGTGTCGTTGAACATGAGGACGATTTTACTGATTCTTGTATCTCAAATATATACAACATACACAAGACGAAAGCTTTTCCGTGTGGAATTGAATGACAAAAATATATATAGTATGAAAAAGTACATTAAAGAAAAAACGTATGCGTTTGGTCTGTATTGCAATTTTTATTAACAAAAGTAGATAAGTTAAAAAGAAAATAAACATAAAAATGGTGACTTTTAAAACATTTTTATTTAATACTTCTCAGAACCCATGTTTTATGAGGGAAATAATTTATAATGCAATTTTGTTGCAACAGATCTCTAAATTATCATTTCTATCGAATTATACTATTTCTCTCAGTTTGTAGTATTATTTCTATTTGTTATTATTATTAGCAAAATCTAACATTATTATTATTATATACGTTATAATTACATGAATATTCAAGAAAGTATTTTTTTTTTCGATCCACACAAAATATTCAAACAAATGATGAATAATTATTATTTAGTTCTCCTTACTTTGGAATAACTATTTGAGGTAGAACAATGCTTTATGGCAGAAATGAAAAGTTGTTTTCAGATGTGTAATTTCTGTCAGTATTTCCAAAGTGATACTTATTTTTATTTTCCTTGTAATCTTTTCTATAATCTTCCCGGAAATATTATAATTAAAGTTAATGTATGCTTTTACTTGTACTCGGTATAGACAGAAAGTTTTGATAGGTTGTACAGGTACCTGTTGTTTAATCCCATACTTTGGGAACAAATGTTGAATTAATGAATTATTCCTTGTAGATAATTTTCCGCGACTTTTTAACATAAATTATTTTATATTCAAAAAACAAAGCCAGAAAGACGGAAGTTTTTTTTTATAATTTGAGGAATACTTTTTGAGACGCAATTCTAGAGAGTACAATACCTTTAAGGTCAATGGTTATGTTGGTTGATTTGCTGCATAAGGCGAGACTTCAACCGACCATCACCCAGGCCTCATTTATCACCCGCCTCGATTTTACTTTTTGTGCGACTGTCCGTGAAGACAATAGAGCTCAATCGCCGGTTCTTTACATGAGTTTGTGTTTCCTAGCGACTTTTCCTTAGACTAGATAAGAAACGAATGAGTCTGTCGATTTCATTAATCGGAATGAAATTTATTACATCTAGTCGTATTCTGTGTCGTGGCGGTCTGTCATAGGGAATACGGGCGATAAATGGAATATTGGCAATAAGGACGGGGAAATATTGTGTATATCATTCTAAGAACCCGGAATCTGGCACCCAAGAATGACCGTCCTTTTGTTACATCGAATGTCAATCACTGAAGCTCGGCGAAACAAAACATTTATTATTGTTGTATTTACATAAAGAAATTACCTGTATGTCAATTTTCATGCGGACATTTCTGTATTACCAGGGCCCACAAGAATTTAATTAATTATCTGGAGAGGGAAAGCAAGAGTACCAGCATTTGAAATCATTAGGAAGATTACTAAATGATTACCTTTGAAGAGTTTTGGCGACTAAGTAAATCCATGTTAAGCACCCGCTCAGTGCGCTGGGTCAACTTTCTTTTTTCCTTGAATTAAAATATATATAATAAAAAAAGAAAGAAAAAGAAAAACAGCTTTAAACAAATCATTAATATTTTTGAAGCTTAGATTTGATTTTAGCTTTCTTAACATAAACGATCAAAGCTATGAGTTTGGACTTTGGTTGTTTTTGTGGTATTTTATTTCAGTTTTGAAAAGTTTCTGTGATAAGAGTAAAACTATTTTAAATATGAAAGGAAAACTTTCTTTATTTTGAATTACTGAAAAAATACTTTTGTGCAAGCAGTGGTTTTAAATGCGATTTCTCTATCCATCTTCTATTTCCTGGTTTGAATGTTGTGATAGCTGCTTGAATTCTACTAAATGTGCACAGATGTTTATAATTAAGGAAACTATATTGAAAAAGGAAATCTATAAACTGACATCTCCTCTTGCTAAGTTGACAATAAAATATATTTTATTTTTTATCTATGGCATTTAAAATAGAAACATATTTTGGTGACATTAAACTTTTCCCATTAAAAAATAAATAAAATTTTAAAACTTGATGTTATTATTTTATGTTATTTTGTTAATTGATTATGAGAGATCTAGATTAATAAATATGCATTAAATATTCATTGAAAGTGGATATGAATAAATAAGGAAAAGAAGTGTAGAAAAGTCAATTCCAAAAACAGATAATATGGAATTATTATGTTCTATTTAAACAATGTCAAGCATGTAAAACAAAACGTCAATGCATATTGAAGCAGGTGTTTAAATGTAATAAATATTTACATGACTGGGAGTCTTCCTTGTAAACCGGCCAGACGGAGTGTCATTACTTAAATTAAAGGCATCAAAATATTCGTATTCTAAAATTACGAGCAAGGTGTAAGACATTCAAATAGATTTCTTTTAGGAAAATTAATAAAACCAATATTTCCGAAAGTCAAACAATAACTGGTTACATTTAGAGTTTATACTTAAAAATATGTTTAAATCATTGAAATGTTCCTTTATCTTTAAACTAGAAGATATTAAATGGTAAATTACTGAATAAACATTTTTTTTTACGTTGTGAAAATCTTTTTCTATTTAATTTAAAATAAAAGTGAATGCAAGTATAAAGTTGACCAAAACAAGTATTTGAATTATCAATGACGATATCATTGAATTTAATTTAGAATCAACAAAAAGAACAAAACTAGACTAAATGGATAATTAAATTAAAATCAATGGATTATATGTGAGTTTTGCAGGAAATTATTTCCGGTTCTTTGTTTATCTTCAAGACAATTAACTTTCTTTTCGGAACTTTTTTGTTATGGTTTAAAAAACAAGAGGTTAAAAAAAATACAACAAGCAACGTTTGTTTTTATTTTAAGTCTACACGAAAAGAGAAACCTCCATTGTGTTTTGCTTTAATCCGCAAACAAAAAAAGGGACTATTGTTTAATATTTTTTTTTACTTTTGCACTAAAGCCAGAGAAACAAGGATGAAAACTAAAAGAGAAAAATAAATCTTTTGACTATGTTGAGATAAAAGTAAAGAAACTTGTTTGTTAATCAATGCAATATATTTTATGAATTCAGAATTGTTTGTAAGTAAATGGTATATTACAGTTTTATGTGTTACTACTTACTAGTATACGATATATAGAGGTTTAACTTTTTTCTTTAATGTTTAAAGATTATCACATCACAATAGAGAATATATGTACATTGTGATACCGGGTATATATAAATATTCACTCAGTTCATTGTATTTGTAACCTTGACTTCCTGTATGGATGGGGTATTTATAGGCATTGTATACCTGTTACTTAATCCTTTCTGGTTAAATATTCTATTTATTTTAAAATGCAATATGAAATATACCCAATGATTCATTTAACAAATTAAAATATATTTTCACATCTTTCAAATTTGATTATACCTAACAACGGCTTTTTCACGCTGAATCTTTATTCTTCAATATCTAGGATATCAATAAAATGCCTGATCTAAATGAAGTAATGAAGTGTTTCATCTATTACATTATTTCAACGTGAATTATTACAACGTTTGTCTCGGAATATTTTATTAAATTGTATAATCATGTCATTGATATAACCGCAGATAAAGTTTGCAAGCTGTTTAATAATTTATTTTATTTATTTAATGGAAACATCTTATTCCAAATAGGATGTATATAAGTCGAGTTTATAATGTACATAAAAATTTTATCATTAAATAAAAAGCAAGATAAAGTAACACAAAACGAGCTGAAAGGTTGACAAAAAACAAATCTGTCTGTTTGTATTGCTTTTATTGCTGCTATAAATATACATTGCATATAAAAATGTACGAATATATGCTGCATCAAATACCTATGATTGATTAGAACTATAAGATAATACTAGTAATTTATGTTCTGAGAGATGATCACAATTTATCAATAATAGTACGTACGGGTCGAGAAAGTGCTTTACGAGAAATGTGTGACATACAAAATAAGCAAGCATCCTTATGGACATATTCGTCAGTAAGATGACAAATAAAATAAGATTCTGAGATTTGTAATATTTTATTTATATTTATGCATAATTTTGGTCTCAAAACCTGAATGGTATTTAATTGCAGGTATAGACTTTTTTTTTTAGACATCTCCCTACAACAGGTCATTGTGAATACACAATTTAATATAATATTAATGAAACAAACATTGTACAAGAAAGCAAAAAAAAAAAAAAAAAAAAAAAAAAAGAAATAAAATACAGTGCATTATCGATTTGGAAATATTGTCAAAAGATACATGTATGACACTGTTCAAATCAAACATTTTGTTGCTGATAATATTTATGCACTGCTTCAAATATTTGAAGATAGATATAAATACCATGTCTAGGACGACCATATAATTTATCAATTCAAGTTGATAGATGTGATCCCAATAATATTTTGGATTATT